GCCCATATGTGGAGATCAAATATTCAAGCTGTTTATAAATTTTCTACCTCTGAACGCAAAAAAAATCAAGCCAAATCTTTGTTTTTCGATTATTTAAAAAAAAAAAACTAAAAAGGCACCGTTTTCTCATTTTTTATTTTCAATATTAAATCAAAATTCAAATGAAAGAATGATACACAGATTGAACACCATCTTTTTTTTAACTGAAACCTTTTTTTCACTCTCTAGTTTCTAAACCATGTTTTCATCATTAAAGAATAATGGTGTCCTCTCAGAACCTTTTAGGAGACACAGAAGAAGAGGAGTCTGATGAAATGGAAGGATGTGCATAACTTTTTTTCCTGCTAAAAAAAAAAGAAATAAGAGGGATGAAAAATGGAGAGCGTAAGGCTCGGCATTCCTCAACATGTGACATGTGGAAGCAAAAGTAAGCCAAAGTAAGGGCGGGCGACACTCCACCCAGCAGTGAAATCATCAAACTTTTAATGACTTGGGTAATTACCCCTAGTGAGCCTGCTTAATGGCGTACAGCGGACGTCGTTAGGCACAGAGGTCCAAACGCACACACTGGCACAGCTGTGAGATAGCATGTCAACTGTATGGAAACAAAGCCAAAAGGTACCTAATGAAATCGCGTGCGACAATTTTTCTCTCTCGGCTTAACAAGGAGTTTTCTTGTGCATGCTTTTGCAGAACTCTTCCCTTGAGTCTTTACTCTAGTGTTCACAATAATACTTTCCATCCTCTGTGAATCAAAGAGCTGTCACAACACAAGAGCACGCAGAGCTACAATGGAGTAATGCTGTTTTCACACTGACAGGCAGCACTCATTAGGGTCCTTTGAGACCATCACCGTAATTATAAGTTTTCTACTAGGGGAGTAATTCAAAAGCATGTTACTACCACTATCACACACACTCTCACAAATGAGACAGGTGTACGACATCATCAGGACAAATAATTACAGGCTTTAAGAGCCATAGAGAAAATCAGAGCTTGTACTGAGTGGACGACGGACAGGTGGAGAGCGAGAGGGGAGGGGGGTTCAGGATCATTCTGTCCTCCTGCGCTATTATGGCAGTCGTCCCCCTTACACAGCTTTGCAATTAGCATGTCAGCCTGAGCTGTTCAGTGAGGCTCACCAAATCCTCTCCTCTTCTTCTCCTTCTTTCGCTGTCATGCCATCCTCCTCCTACAGGCCGCACTTAAGGGGCTTTTGGTAGAAAGCTCCAGAAGGACAGGACTGCATGCATTACAGGACCTTCAGCTCCTCTATATTTCATAAAGTGTGAGCGCGCTGCCAAGTACGAGCCGAGACACTCTGTCTTCATTCTCATAAAATAATGCATTCATATCTCTTTCTTCCACTGATGGGACTCAATCAATGATTGAATCGACGTCGGTTGTGTGTTCAAACTTTTTCCAGGTGAATTTTCTGGAAAATCAAAGAGCAAGATCCGATGCTCACCAAGATCTTCCAAACCCCTCGGGGGTGAATAATATTGCAAGATACGTGTACAATTAACATCCCGTGGCTTGCCTCTGAACCCATTGTTTTGATAGATACTGCAATTGCAGACCTCTCAACCCCCGCTACGCTCTCCTAAATAAATCCTGATAGGTCAACAGGCTTTCCAGAGCCCTTCTCATAATGATACGAGACACCCCTACTGAAGCCTGTGCTGCGTGCAGTACCGCCACTGTATTTAATTAGGCCACTTAAGGCATTCTCTCATTCTAATGCAATGAATAAAGATAGCTCACGGCACAGCCGCACAGATAAGCATTTTAATTGTCTTCTTTCAGCGGGCCCAGTATGCTAATGGCCATCTCCCCAGGGTGAGGAGAGCACCCTAGAGCGACTAGGTTTATGCTAGTGAGGGTGAAGAACTTTGTGTGAATGCACGCAAAAGCGCTAATAAAGGGCTTACATCTTTCTCCGTTTGACTCCAAAAACTCTCTGCTGAGCAAGTCGACCACACTCACGGCCGAGCCTGTACGCCACTGATAACCGCTCTCTCCAGTGAGTGCTGTGAAATTCGGATTCTGACGGACAAGAGCGTTATTAATTACCGTGCAGTGTATTGTCTCTTGTACTTATGTGTGCATGGCAATAAAAGAAAAGAAAAGGTGGTATTGTGATATGTTTAAAGTTGTGAGCCACAGCAAGAAACTGAATTCTTTAAGGGGTCACCCAAAAATTATTTACTCCCCCTTGTGTCATTCCAAACATGTACGACTTTTTTTTCTTCCGTGGAACACAAAATATATTCTAACACTGTGTTCTAAACAGATGTGAATCAATGTTGCAAAATCCAATAAAACGTATCTTTTCCATGCTAATCAGAGTTTTTGATATAACCAGCCACGATGGCGGTACGTGACGAGCAACAGCGGATTCTATTTTTAAAAATGGTTTCTATTTCTGCGGCATCGCTGGAAAAACAACATACAAACTAAATTTGGGTGAACAATCCCATTAAGATTGGATACACTGAATAAAAAAAACAGCCAGTCACAAAGTGATTTTACATTAACTTTCTCTTCTTTTTCTTGAATCTTTCTCCCCTCTCTTGCTTTTTCTTTTTTCTTTTATTTTTGCTGATGTTGTAAGTTGGGGCAGATAGTGCAGATGCTGATGTTTCTAGTAGACATCTTCTCTTTGCCTGCCTTCCTATTTGGATCCCACCCAGGACCTGGTGTTATGCTGATAATTGGCCTGTCCTGTAAATTCGAGTTTCTCACTTGGCTGAACTGCTACCTCCACAGTAACTGTCAGAGAGGTGGGAGGAGAGCTGGGGGCAAGGAGGGAGGAGGGCACGGGCTGTTATGTTATCACCCTCAGGAGAGTGAGCAAAACCTCAATTAGCTTTCCGTGAGCATGGCAAGAAAGTTATTTCACCGACGAGACAGTGCAAATGATATTTTGAGCGGGTGTGAAATGGGTGCAAGTCTAGCTGGAGAGATGTGGACTGACGCATACTTTTTTCATGATCAAATCCTTAAACATGACAAATGGAGTGACTTCCCCTTTCAAATGGACATTAGACATGCCATGTATGTTTGAGTGGAACTATATGTGCCTTACATTTGTTTTGTATGTGTGTTTTCCCTTCTCAGTAACAACTGTGTCAGAAAAAGCGACCAGACAGGACTGTGTTATGTTATTTATATTTAGTGTGAGTAGACAAGGGTGAATTCCAGTCTGTCTCTGTCGCTGGCCAGATCATTGGCACTTTTCTGGGGAAAGGACAGGAAAATAGAGAGAGAGACAGAAGCAGAAAGAGGAAGATGGAGAGAGAGAAGGGAACAGCGCGTCCCACTGTCCCTCCTTGTAATGAGAGGATGCCGTGGTGCAGTGGCTGCTCCTAATTACTACCAAGCAGCTGCAACCACAGGGAGCAACGGACCCTGCCAGGCCCCAGCACAAACCCACCAGTGTGGAGAGAGAGAGAGAGAGAGAGAGAGAGAGAGAGAGAGAGAGAGGGAGAGAGA